ATCAATTACTCACTACCTACACACATATTATTGTCCCGTCACGTTGTCACTCTCTTGTATATACTAGACTACCCTATATCTAGTAATCTCCCGACAATTCCCGAAGGTTCGAGAGAACGAGTCACGTGACCTCGCTGACGCAACAATACGTTACTAACACGGCAAACTAGACACGCCTTCAAACATAAACTTATTCGAAACAAACGTTGGCATTAAAATAAATATATAATAAATTCGTTATACGCAACACATATTTGATACTACAAGTCACACATATTTCTAAATACAAATTCAATCCAAACAACGTTCATATTAAAAATAAATACATAATAATAAATTCGTTACAACCCAAAATAACTGCACGACACTGATATAAAAATCAACTTACTTGTACAAAGTAATTCAATATGTGTGATAACTAACACAGATCTAAAACATAAACAACTAACTGATTCTTTCTCCTGGTTAGAAAGCAATTCTCTATCTTCTTCATCCCTCACTGTTTCATTGCAAGTTTACTTAGCCAGTTGATTGCATAGCTCTCCCGTATTTATAATCTAATTCTTCTAGATATTTTACAAATCCTCTCGTTCACTACTTTTACCATATATTCTAAGACGAACTTGATCTTAACTTGATGCATTATCCAGCTAATAAACAAATTACAATTAAAAAAAATATATATATGCCTTATAACAATATTGTTATAATGTGTTCTGTTGTTGGGCAAGCTTTTTGTATTATATAGTAAAATAATGTGAAGTCCAGTCCACATAACAATAATGAATGTTTACTTGTAAGCTTAACTTCACAAATAATGTTCCTACAGAAATTCTTAGATTAATGGTGTGTTCACTTAATTTACCAATAAACTTACTTGCAGAATTTTCTCGCTAATCAATCAATGACAGTCACACTGACTGACTTACTTACTGAGGAACAGAGTTACAAATTATCACTGTCTAAATTACTAATTGTCACTAAACTGATTCGCTCTGGCATTTATATCATTTTTGTTTTCAACTTAACGAAATTTCTAGATCATTATGAAATCATCATGATTAGTTCCCTCTAGCAAACATCCATCTAAATTAAAATATCAAAACATAGCTTACAATAATATGTATATATCCTTTAACAGACATGCTTTTTCATATGCAGACTTTTAATCGCAGGAGAGATATTGAAATTCTTTTTTTTTCCTTACTTTGAACTGTATTAGTGGCAGTGAAAAAAAATCTGCATAAATACCAATAATGTCCGGAACAAATGAAGCAAATTTTCTTCATAAAGATTCATGTCGAAATTTATTTTTTGGTATACTGCCTTTTAAATATTTTTCATTTTCTCTTCATAATCATATCAGAGTATTTCCTTAATCAGTTGACAATTAAAACCTTTTTTTTTCAGTGTATATATAACTTGATATTGTTTTTCAAACAATTTTTTACTTCCATTTTACGGCATAGGAGCCAAAAGCTCGTAATAAATATGAGGATTTAGCGTTATTAAAGGAACTAGTAATTTCTAAATAATTGAACAGTTATTATAAGCTGAGTGCCAAAGGCTAATTTTTTGCTCATTTTTATATTAATTTTAATGTATTGGTAACTTGTGATTTTCAAAAGAGATTCCATATTGTAGACAATTATATTTTCGTTTTAAGAAAAACTATTACATTTATTTCTGGCCTTTCTTCTAGTGGTTGTACAAAGAACCTCAAACAGGAACCTCGTTACTGTTTTTATCGTAAGTGTGAGAGAGTAATGTGAAAGACATGTGACATAGATTGACTGTAGTTCTAACTACTTGTTCTAAGTTTTAATGCAGGGAATAAACAAAAGAATCAAGTTGTCGATAGAGGTAGAGTTATACTGTCTTGACTAGTGGTATATTAGTGTATTTACTTATAACACTCAAACTTTTTTCTTCAATTGTTGTGATAACGACAACGTTCAAACTCAAAGTTCATTCTGACATCAGCGCAGGATGTGTAGTCTACACTTATATTCATAATGGTTGTGATAAGGATTGTGTACACGAATCTGTTGAATCAAGTCACATCCTTCTAGCTTCGTGCTGATAGTTGTAGCCTTCTCCGTTTTAATGTCAGACATTTTTATTGTTATTCCAAAATATTCTGTACTGTACTATCAGTGATAGCATTCATTTAATACATGAGAAATCTTGAACTTCAAGTTTCGAAGTTGAATAGTGACGATGTAAGAAGCATGTTGCGTAATTCAACTTTTAAAGTGCAAAAAATACGGTTATCTTTTGTATTAGTTGATACTAATTTTCTAACAGATATGTTACAAAATTAACAACAAAACAAATACTGCCTGAGCGACTTCGTAAAAGAATTGTTAAATACTCTTAATCTACCGAGTAAAAATGTTTGAGAGTATCGTTGTTGACTTACTAAACAGGTTTCTTGGAGACTATGTTGAAAATTTAGATAAGTCTCAGTTAAAAATAGCAATATGGGGAGGAGATATCGTTCTGAGAAATCTTGATATCAAGCAGAATGCATTGGATGATCTAGATCTTCCAGTAAAAGTATGTTCTGGACATTTGGGTGAACTTGTTCTTAAGATTCCCTGGAAAAACATATATTCTGCTCCAGTTACTGCCATAATTGATGGATTGTATGTTGTTATCACTCCCAATGCTGCTCAGAAATATAATGCAGAAAAAGAGAAGAAAATGGCTCAAGAAATAAAGCACAAAGAACTTGAAAGAATTGAGGATGCAAAAGCTAGAGAAGCTGAGAAAAACAAAGAAAAAGGTGAGAAACAAGATACTTTTACTGAAAAGATGGTTACTCAGATAATACGTAATTTGCAAGTGAAGATTATGAATATTCATATTCGATATGAAGATGATTTCACTAATCCTGCTTGTTCCTTTGCTGTTGGTGTTACACTTCATGGATTGTTTTTTGAGACTACAGATGAGAGCTGGAAACCTTGTGTAGTGCCAGAAGCTGTTAACATGTTTAACAAACTTGTAACTATGGATAGTTTAGGAGTATATTGGAACAGCAATGCTGAACTTTTCAGTAAAATGACCTCAGATAACAGGAAAATAGCAATGATAAAAGCAATTGCCTCCAAAAAGCATAAACCAATAGATAATTGCTATATACTTGGGCCAATAACTCTTACTACAAAAATGACGTTGAATCCCAAACCAGAATCTGATGGATCTAATTTTTGCACTCCAAAAATTCAGATGAACATCATTATCGAGGATATTTCTGTTCTAATGAACAAATCACAGTATCATGAGATTTTACAGCTTTTAGAGAGTGTGGATCGATTGACACTAGCATCAATGTATAGGAAGTACAGACCAGATAAGCCCCACAAAGGAAATGCTAAACTGTGGTGGATATTTGCTGTCAGTTGTGTTCTTGAAGAAGATGTACGAAGAAGACAGAGAAATTGGTCATGGGTACACATGCAGCAGCATCGGAAAACTTGTCAGAAATACAAAGACCTATATAAGCAAAAACTGGTGTCTAAAAAGCTGTCACAAAATATTCATCAGCAGATTGATGATTGTGAAAATTATTTGGATGTTTTTAATATAACTGTAGTGCGAAGGCAAGCAGAAGTGGATATTTCTCGTAATATAGAAAGCAGTGCATCACATTCAGGACGTTGGTTTAGCAGTTTGTTTAGTGGGGGTAAGAAAACTAAGGTGAATAGTGGTGTTGGAAGTGACATTGTTAAGAAGTTTGATGAGACTATGACAGAACAAGAAAAAGGACAACTGTATAAAGCAATTGGTTATCAGGAAAATTTCATCCCTACAGAATATCCAAAAACATTTGTTGAAAATAAACTGCATTTTCAGTTAAGTAAGTTTGTTATCTCAGTAAGAGATGATACCAAAACAAATCAAGATGTACTGAAGATTGACTTAAATAATGTTTCAGCTACATTTGAACATAGACCATCTGCAGAAGCAATCAAACTGGGTATGCAAGTTAAAAGTTTTTCTGTCTATGGATCAGTATTATCAGATGGGAAAATACCGCATATGATCAAGGTTGAAAAGTTAAATGAATCAGAAGATTTGAAATTGCTTCAAATGTTGTTTGAAACAAACCCATTAGATCAAACTTGTGACCAAAGAATAAATGTGTCAACAATGCCATTAGAAATCATATATGATGCTTTCACTATTAACAACTTAATTGAAGTGTTTAAACCACCACAAACAGTGTCACTTTATCAGTTGCAGGCTGCTGCTGCAATGAAGCTGGAAGATTTTAAGGATAAATCAGCACTTGGCTTACAGTATGCTATTGAGCAACACAGAAATTTGGATCTCAATATTAACATCAAGCCTTCTTATATTATAATTCCAGAAAATGGAGTTCTTGAAAAATATTCAAATATTCTGGTGATAAATCTTGGAAATTTTCAAGTGCAGACAGTTAGAGAAATGAGAGATTTACTGACAGTAAAAAGTCTTGTCAAAGCAGGGAATACAGATAATGAAATTTTGGAAACAATGATGACTAAAGCATATGACAAGTTTCATATTAGTTTACAAAATGTTGGTGTGTTGCTTACTAAAGCATGCAATGATTGGAAAAAACAAAAAGGTAGAAAAAATCTAAAATGTTGTTTGTTGCAACCTGTTACTGTGGATGTAAACTTCATGAGGGCAATTATTACAGATGATCCTCGGATGCCAAAAGTGAAAATCTCAGGAGAACTACCACTTCTGAACTTATCTCTGTCTGATCAGAAATTGAAAGTTCTTATGAGCCTTATGCAAAGTATTCCTTTTCCTGAAAGTGAACCAGAAGTGGAAAGCAAAGAAGTACCTGTGCTTTCAGCTGCTACAGACACTGTTCATATTCAAGCAAAAACTTTAAAGCAAGTCACTGGACAAGAAACATTTGTAATATATGAAAATGTTAGTGCAGGTGAAGAGAATGAATCTGAGACAGGAAAAAAGGAACTTGTTCAATTTATAGATCTTCACTTAAATTTTGAGATAAAAAGAATAGTAATTGATCTGTCTCATCAAGTAGATGGAATAGAAAAGCAGATGATAAGCTTTAGACTGTTCACACTTGGTACTAGCGTTTTTATGCGTACCTTTGACATGAGTGTAGATCTTCTGCTAGGTGGAGTTTCTCTGGAGCATAAAGAGTATTTCACCCCAGATGAAAAAGAACTTTACTTGCTGAATACCCCTTTGCCATCAAGTGCATCAGAAAACCTCTTCACACTACAGTATCTGCAGGCTGATAAGAAAGGACCCTTGTTTGATACATATTATAAGTCCACTATTCAAAGTATTTTTATAAGATTCACACAGTTAGATATAGTTTTACATCAGGATGCCTTACTCGCTTTAATTAAGTTTGCATCTGATTTGACATCAGAAATGCAGAAGCTTAAACTCTTGGATAAAGTGGGAGAATATAGCACTTGTTCACAAGGGTCATCAGAAGGACCTACTACACTAATTTCAGAGGAAAAGACAAGGCCATTAAAAAAAACTTAAAAATGATGATGTTATTAATTTACAGATTAATGCCAAACTATCATCTCTTGGAATTTCCATTTGTACAAATAAATTTAACATTACAAATATGCAAATCAGAGGAATGGATGCTCAACTGACTCTTATGAATTCAAAAACAGTGTTAAATACTCTCTTGAAAGAAGTTTTGGTTGTTGATTCATGTCTAAATGCTGTGTATCCAAATATTCTGTCTACTACCAGTGATGAAGTGCTAAGAGTGGAAGTTGTCACTTTTGATAAAGCAACAGAAGATGAAAAGTATCTGGACATGTCAGCTGTGGATCTGAAATTGAAGGTATCTCTTGGTGCAACAAAACTAGTCTTCTTGAATAGATACATTTCTAAGTTATTGAATTTTATCAGTGAATTTGAAACAGCAAAAGAGAAAATAGCAGAAGCTAGTGTGGCAGCAGCAGAAGTGGCCAAACATGGCATGGAAGAAGCTTATCAAAAAGCAACAAGAGTTTCATTAGATATACACCTTAAAGCCCCAATTATAATAATGCCACAGAATTTTCATTCTGAAACAGTTCTAATAGCAGATTTGGGAACACTGAAATTGTTCAATGCATTTACAATGCTGAATATAAGTAATGATTGTGGGATTCCAGCAATATTTGATAACTTGTGTTTAGAGTTCTCTGATTTGAAGCTATCAACTGCAATTGTGAACACTGTGTCTGGAAAAATTCTTGCCGAATCTATGTTACTTGAACCAATTAATTTGAAGTTGGAGGTAGTTCGCAATCTGGCCATAGGATGGTACATGGAAGTTCCAGAAGTAGCAGTCAAAGGTAATCTTGCTGCAGTGAGAGTGATTTTGAGCCAAGAAGATATTACCATTATTATGAAGTTTTTGGTTGAAAATCTTGGTGATGCAGAACGAAATATCTCGTCCTCAGAGTATTCAGCCAAAGCTAGTGTAGTTGAAAAACATACCAGTGGAAAGAAAATTTCTGTAAACGAACATATGGAAGACAAAAGAAAACACTCTGAACTCATAGAATCTGTGTTTAAAAGAATGACATTTGCTTTTCAGTTGGACAGTTTCAAGGCTTGTTTGTATGAGGGAAGCTCAAACTTGACTTCTGGTCTTTCTGAAAGAAAACCAGAATGTTCATTGGCTCAGTTTGAGCTTGTGACCATAACAATAAAAGGAGAAATATTAAGTGATAGTTCTTTTTGTGGTAATGTAATTCTTGTTAACTGCATCTTAGATGATAAGCGGTCTATAAGGAAAAAAGGAATCACCAGACTAATGGATAGGGTTCCAGTCAAGAATGATACTGAGAATATGATTGATATTACCTTCAGACAAGATTTAAATCTTGACAAATTTTTGTTTACTAAAATCTCAAGTTTTAACCTTGTTCTTAATGTGGATTATTTAATGATATTAGGAGATTTTTTTGTTAAAGCTATGCCAGAGAATTTGTCACCACAACCTACAACTACTGCAGTTCCAGAAACACCAGATGTTACAGATCATGCTGATGCTGGACCTTTTGGATGTACATCTATAAACTTGAATATTAAAGAGCCAGATTTAATACTTATAGAAGACATGGAAGATTTTAATTCTAATGCTATTATTTTGAAGTTTAAAATGGATGCTAAAATGATGATGTCACCAAATTCTCAATCAGTATCTGGTGTCATTTCTCACCTTCAGCTTTTTACAGCTTGTTTTAACCCTGAATTGAGAGCTAATACGATGTCAGAAATATTAAGACCTTGTGATATTACTCTTTATTCTTATTCTCCTAATATGAAAGGTCAACATGTGAATATAGATTTCACAAGCATTTTTCTGAATGTATCACCAAACACTATATCCATATTCATGAATATTTTGTCTAGTTTAGCTTCTCAAAAAAGTTCAAAAGAGCTCGACGAAGCAAAGTCTTCTGAAGAATATTCAAAGTTGTGGACACCAAAGAAGCTTGAAGAATGCTCTTTTTGGTTTTTAGAGAATATTGGTTTTGCTGAGGAAGCTGTAGAAGATGTTATTGTATGCATTGAAGATAAAAATCAAATGAAAGTTGACTCAGAATTATTCATGTTGAATATGAATACTATAACATTAACAGTTGAGACTGGTGTAGGGATACAGACAGTTCCGATGGTTATGATGGAGGCTTCTTTCCAGGCACAAGTTCAAAATTGGAATTCAAATCTTCATCTTAAATCAGTTTTTTCAATGGAAATAGTTTACTTCAATGAAAAGCTAGCTGTGTGGGAACCACTTGTTGAACCAGTTAAAAATGCATCAGGGAGATCAGAACCTTGGAAACTGCTAATAGAAATAACCAAGAATTCTGAATTACCAGAAGCTTCTACTGAAGACATAGAATCCATAGAAATCTCACTTCAGCCTCCAGTTATGCGTGTTAATATATGTTCAAGTGATGTAATGGAACTGATGGTCAGTAAGGTTGCTCTAGAGGTCTTAACTCATCTTGGCCATGCTTTTGGTGAAGCAGTTAAACAAGCCCATAAACATAAATATATACAGCCAGAAGCTCCATATGTTGTGAAAAATCACTTGGGAACTCCAATGTCTGTTATACTAGCCAATAACATTTTTCAGGTTGTTGGACAAGATCATTTTGGTTTCAAAGAAGTAATTTTAGAGCCAAATAGTTCAGTTTATTTGAAACTCATTTCTTCTGCAAAGGAAGAAAGTACAACTTCGATCCTAATTAAGCAGAATGTCAAATTAGAAGAAGCATTGTGCATCAAAATTGAAACGGATTTGATCAACACTGTACGAAACATCAACATTTCTCATGTTGGCAAACGATATTTTCAGCTACCCCTTAAAACCTATCCAGGTGATCAGTGGGGTTTTGTTGTTGATGTGGCTTCATTGTTTGGCTCAAAAATAATTACGTTTCAAAGTTGTATCACTGTCAGAAGTGATTTTTCAAATCCAATGGAGTTATATTACATGAGACCAGGAGGAAATGAGCTTGAAATGTGTGGAGTCTTAGAACCTGAAAAGACATTCTTTGTTCCTTTATATGGAGTGTACACTCCCACTAGTCAGTTTTTCTTTAAACCTAATGAAGGTTCGTTTAGTGTTTGTACAGAGCCATTTGTTTGGAAGGATCTAATGAGTGAACCAAGCACATCCAAAATACTACAATGCACAAGCCACAGTACTGAAAGCAGAAACCTTTTTTTCAAAGTGTTTGGGAATGTTGAACAAGTTTATTTTGAAAGATCTATGAAAAAGACGTTAGTCAGTACATGCTATGCACTACATATACGACCAACTGCATCATTGAGAAATTTGCTTCCATTCACTATCAGATATACAATACAAGGTGTGAATGAGGAATTTGTCTTAGAGGAAGGTTTTACTCATGATCTTGTATCTGCTTATCCTGGTAAAACCTACCTGCAGATTAAGTTACCAAATTATTTGGAACGAAAATGGGTGTGTTGTAAAGAAATAAATCACACTGTAGCTGATTTGTCTATTTGGACATTTTCTTCAAATGTATTAGGTAGTGAGCTTTCCTTAGATCTTGGCATGCATACTCGAAAATCTGATGGTTATTTAGATATGGAAATCTACTGTCCATTTTGGATGATTAACAAAACAAATCTACTTCTAACTTACAAAGGAGAACAACATAATATTACTACCCATCCTGGAAGTCTAAATGCCCCTTTGTTGTTTTCATTCAGAGCTAAAAATTTTTTTTCAAAAAAGAAGGCTTCTTTAAAAGTGGAAAATTCAGAATGGTCAGATGAATTTGCAGTTGATGCTGTGGGAAGCAGTGGTTCAATTGCTGCAAAGATTAAAGATGGTAAGACCTACTGTTTGGGTGTCCAGATAATGCTTGGTCAAACTAGCTTGAACAAAATTGTTGTGTTCACTCCATTTTATATGTTAATGAATAACAGCAAGTTTGATATTCAGGTTAAAGAGAACCTGGAATCAGCACAATGGGTAACTGTTTTTGCTGGTGAGTGTGCTGCTTTTTGGCCTGATCAGAGAAAAAATATGGAAATGTTAGTGAGATATGCAAACAGTGAAAATCAAACTGCACCTTTTTCGTTTAAGGAACCACATTCAAGCCTTCTCAGGTTGGGAGGTTTGAATAGTGCTATTTATGTAGATTGTCAAGTTGGAGAATCTTCAACTGTACTAACCTTCTGCAATTACTATGAAGGGTCAGCTCAAGTTCGGCTAATTAATCATACAGATAGTTTTACTATAGAATACTTTCAGTGTGGTAAAAATAAGAAAGTAGAGCTGGTAGCACAACACTGTATTCTCTATGTGTGGGAAGATCCAATGGGTGAAAGGGAACTGCTTTGGTCGTGTGGAAATAAGATCAATGGGAGAAACAATCTTATCGAAGATGGAATTGGTGAATTTTTTGCTGACAAAGATTCAAAAATATACTGGGTATCTTTTCTGGATGGTTTACAGCGGACCCTTATATTTACTGAAGATATTGCTGTAGCAACTGCTGCACAAGAAGCAGGAGAGCTAGAGCGTATTGAGCAAGAAATCACTGTATCCCTGCAGGGTGTAGGAATCTCTCTTGTAGACAGTGAGAGAAGATCTGAGATTGTGTACATGAGCTTAGCTAATTCAGGAGTGTTGTGGGAACAGCGCAAGTTCAGAAGTCATAGGTTTAAACCTGTAAGTTTAAGAGAAAATGTTATACTAGAAGAAGGATACCAGAAATATTTGAGAGAAACTCAGATAAGAAGAAAACCAAAATCAAAGTTTTCTCTTGAAGGGAAACTTGAAGTAGATTTCGATGAGATGATAATGTATAAACCTAAAAAGAGTCATATTCGGAGATCTTTTCAACTTGGCATTTGGGCTCAGTATAGTTCATCTCCTCATCAACTTCAACTGCATGCAAAGATTAACAAGCTACAAATTGATAATCAACTGGTAGATTGTGTCTTTCCTGTGGTTCTTGTTCCAGTGCCACTTCCAAAGTCTGTTGCTGCTGATAGTGCTCCTAAACCTTTTACTGAAATCAGTATCATGATGAGGAAAACAGAACATAGTTCACTTAATCAGTTTAAATATTTTAAAGTATTGATCCAGGAATTCCAAGTGAAATTAGATCAAAGTTTTTTAAACTCCTTGATATCATTCTTTTCTCCAAAAGAACCAGCTCATATAAATCACAAGGAATTATTGGAGAAAGACAAAGTGGCCATAAAAAAAGATTTGAAAGGTTTTGCAACAATATACTCTTCTCAAGATCAGAAGAGTTTCTATGACATCCTTCATTTTTCTCCAATTAAAATTCATTTAAGTTTCTCCATGACAGGAGGCGGTAAGCATACTAACCAACGAACTGCTATTCATTCTGATTTCATAAACCTTCTTTTACAGAGTGTTGGAGTCACAGTTACTGAAATACAAGATGTAATATTCAAGCTAAATTATTTTGAGAAGCAAAATGCCTTCCTCACTCAAAGACAACTCATTTCTGATGCCACCATGCATTACACAGGACAAGCTCTCAAGCAACTTTACATGCTAGTGCTTGGCCTTGATGTAATTGGTAATCCTGTTGGACTTTTGTTAGGAATTACTGAAGGTGTGGGTGACTTCTTTTATGAACCATTTCAAGGGGCAATACAAGGTCCTGAAGAGTTTGCAGAAGGACTTGCTATAGGCGTTAAAAGTCTTTTAGGGCATGCAGTTGGAGGAACAGCTGGTGCTGTTTCTCGTATCACTGGCACTTTAGGTAAAGGCCTGGCAGCTCTTACAATGGATCAGGAATACCAGAAGAAAAGGCGGCAGCAAATGAACAAGCAGCCCGAAGATGTTGCACAGGGCCTAGCACAAGGTGGAAAAGGTATTATCATGGGTGTCTTTGAAGGAGTCACTGGGGTGGTAACTAAACCAGTGACTGGTGCTAAAGAAGAAGGAATTGGAGGCTTCTTCAAGGGTATTGGGAAAGGTCTGATTGGTGTTGTTGCTCGTCCAACAGGTGGTGTTGTTGATTTTGCTAGTTCAGGACTGGAGGCAGTAAAGAAAATAACAGAACTTTCTGATGAAGTTAAACGAACAAGGTGTCCTCGTTACATTCATCCAGACACAGTTATTAAGCCATATCACCGCATTGAAGCTGAAGGAAACCAACTTTTGCAGGAAACTGAAAAAGGAAGGTTTGTCACAACAGATGAGTATATAGCTCATCTACCACTTGGGTCTGAAGATAAAAGTTACTTGTTAGTCACCAGCAGAAGAGTAATGTATATAAGTCAAGGGGATGTGTTTGGCCAGTGTAACACAGAGTGGCAGATTGTCTGGAATGATATCAGGGAAACCCCACAGATAACAGAGAAGGGAATCAAATTCATGCTGAAGGAGCCTAGGAAAAAAAAGTTAGGAGGACTGCTTAGAAATGAAGAGACGGGGAAGTTAGTTTATATCTCTGATCCAAAACTTTGTGCTTGGATTGTGGGCAAAGTTGAAGAAGCCATGAAGCAATGTATTTAACTTGGAGGTATTTGAATATGTATCACAAAAATATTTTTTGATACTATCATTTAACTTCAGTTGAATTCATGAATATGTGCATACACTTCTGCAACTAAAGCAATACTGTATGTTAAGTATTGGAAATATTTGAGATCCAGAAAACACCTGTGCTTTAAATTTGAATTGGTGCTAAGCATTTTATATGTCTTTGTAAACAGAACTTGCAAATCATGTATGTAGTAATGAAGTATGTGAGATCAAAAAATGTCCAATTATGTCAGTAACCTCTTATTCTTTAAAGTTTTTATTGATTCTAAGCTTTCTTGTATATTCTCTGTAAAATTTCCTTATAATGTATAGTAGTAAGATATTACATCAAGAAAAATCAAAATTTTTTAATGAAGTATTAAAAGTGTCTTACAACTAATTATTGAGATTTAACCTCAGTTATGTCTTTCATTTGTTATTGGATTTTAATATGTATAGATTTATTAATTTATCACTTTGAAAAATTTGAATTTGAAAATTGTTGAAGTTGCTATAGCATCGTTATTTTTGTACTGTTATCATTTCGAGATATGAAAAATTAGGTTTGTTATATTTGTTTTACAAATGTATGTCTTCATTATTATAAATTCTTTTTCTTTTGAAACTTTAAATTATTTCATTAAGTTTTGTTGTAAAATTTATATTTGATTCCAAAAATTATATTCCATGTTTGATTTTTTCTTCAAGTTCTTTTACTTGAATGAACTATGTAAAAATGTTTAAGTATCTTCCAAGTATCTGACAACTCTTGTAATATTTTGAGTGATTAAAGAAATTTATAGATATGGGTGTGTGTGAAATAATTAGATTTAACAAACAAAATGAATTTCACAGAAATAAGTAATATATTTATACTGTTATTTTACAGAGGGTTTTTGTGATGTCAAAGGCCTTTATGTAAGTGATTTCATGGACTAGCCTTGGTATTTTTGAAGTAAATTAATTGTACCAAGGTTATTAGAGAAAGATTCAGCAGGTAATTGGATGGCATGAAGATATATTTCTATGGTGTTGTTTTTATAATTGTAATTCCATTAAAGTGCTTGTACCAAGATTGCATAGTTGATGGGCTGGGCATGGCCTAGTTGTTAGCATACCAGTCTGTGATTTTGAGGGTTCACATTTTGTTGCAAAAAATAAACAAATGTTTTTATTCTGGGGCTATGAGTGAGCAATAAGATTGATGGTCAAATCTCACTAATTGGTAATACTAGCTTGGTGGAAAGGGTATTTGTCTCACAATCTTTGGGATGTGGCATTGAAAGGATGCTCGTCCTTTTAGCTGTGGGAGTATTATAATAGTGACAATTGTTGTGTACTCCAGTGCACAGATTTCTTACAGAGCAGTCACTTAGTGCCTGTTAACTGAAAGTTGGAAGAATAACATGTCATAAAGTATGTGTTTATCTTTTTCTTTGCAATGTGACTGTGTTTACCAACAAAGAAAGAAGCAATATACAGACTTTATAGAATGACAATCTTTATTTAACAAAAATATAATCAGAAACAAATACATGCACCATCTGAAATAAAAGAAAAATGTGTTTTTAATGAGTGTGTTGGACTGACAAAAGATAGAGATGAAGTGAAACCTTAGTGAGCTCTCTCAGCAGTCCAGTATGAGCCCTGTAAAGTAAAAGAGAACAAAGCAAAACTACAAAATGAAAATATACTGTTAACAATATAACAATGTTTTGCTCTATGATTTAAAATGCAAACGAAATTAGTATTATAATGAATTCTACAAAGTCTAAATCAAATCTACAATATTTACTAGAATCTAACTGGTGAGAACCCAGCTTTACACTTCCAGGTTGCTCATCAGTTTCCCATCATAAATGTTAACTGTCTACTGCTACTCAAGTACAAAGATGGCAGCTTTAGGCTAATATACAATTTGCCAACAGAATAGACAGCTGTTTATTTTGAGAAGTCAAAAGTTATCCTTCCGGCAAGAGGACGTAGTTAATGGGCAATAGTGAAGCATGTCCCAGGCACAGCTAGAATTACGAAAAGTTGTATGTTTACTTGAGTTGCTTTCTATGTCCAAACTGAAGTGTGTAGCAAACACCTGGTAGCATCCTGTATCACATAATCAATACCACTACTTGTTGGTAAAAGAATAGCCCAAAGTTTGTAATGGTTGGTTACCAACCAATTACTTTTTCTCTGGGTAGCAGTTCAAAATTAGGGACAGATATGTGCAGACAGACCTTTGTGTAGCTCTGTGTAAAACTATAAAATGATTGTAGATGGAACTGTAATTTTTTTTTTCTCTTGTTAATAAAGAAAAGTATAAATTGTGATTCATGCTATAAGAATTGCATTAGCAATTTTATAATTAGTTTGAGAAAAGGTAACAGGATAATGTATATAATGCTGTTCTTACAAGTTTCATAAGATTATAGCAGATTTAAGTGTAACAAATCCTGTTTATTTTATTGCTGATAACATTGGTAAAATAAAACCAAATTGGAAAGTTAATTTTCCTATGTATAAATCATGTACAGGGTGATAGCAATGCCAGTTAGCATAAATATTGTATACATTTTTAATGTATGCATAATTTAACAACATCCTTTGTAACTCTTATTTGAAGTTATACACCATCACATTTTCTATTGTTAGTAAAAGAGATATAGAACTCATGCCATTTAAATTGCATAATTTAAGACTATACAATTGACTGATACAGTGTCTGTTGACTTCATTAAACGTGCACTCAAGCTGCTGTATCTTTAGCATTGCTGTAAATTTTATAATGGTATAATAGATGCTATATAGGGTAATTAGTTATTATAACAATATTAGTATGTGTCACTAATTTTTAAATAGAATTTATGTACTGATTGTAGCTATATCAGTTTATAGTATTAGCATAATTTGTAATAGATAGTGAAATATAAGATAAAAATGCTTTATAATATAATGATTTTGTTTGGAAAAGTTGTTATTTAACTATTTTACATGATATAATGATGTCTTCTCCACAGAGATAAATACACTGCAACTCATGTGCTGCTTTCTTTACTTTTTCCAGCACTTAAAAATGTGTGCTTTTCCTTTGATTCTAACTTCTTGTAACTTGGAGAACATAAACATTGATTCAGTATGCCAAAACACATTTTTGCTTTTTAATTTAGACCAGCATTTTAATTTTTAGGGATTCACAGGCCAAACATTATAAAAACATTTTGGTCTGCATTTCTTTCTTACTTACAATCCATCCAAATGGGACTTGGTGAAAAGACACCTTGCAACAACCCACACAGGTAGATTTAGTATTTACAGCTTCCTTTTGATTTTATGGAGTCAAAGGTATTTGTTTTTGCAAAGTTAGATTTTAGGCCTATTATTCATTTATGTTTTGACACAAAAGTACCTTGCAATAGCCCTCACAGTCTGAAATGGACAGATTTTGGATCTGTGCCTTTATTGGTAAAATATTTCTCAGAATTAGGGATTTTGATTAATCTAGATGATACACTGCACAAAGACACCATGTGAAACCCACCATTGTTCGCACATGTAGATATTGGAAGAGGTTATTATTAATAGCAGGCCCATACACAGAATGTTTGAAAGAGGGGTTCTAATTTGTGAGATAAAAACCAACACATATTGTGCAAAGCATGCTAATACTATAGAGGTTTGGGGGCATGACATCAAGAAAATTTGTAATTAGCAGAAAATGTAAAATTAGCACACACACCCCCCCATGTGTGCATGCACAATATGTCTTTTTAATTGCACAAATACATAAGTTGTGTATGCTTTGTCAAAGGATAGGTCTTGTTTGCCCAAAAAAAGGAAAGTTTGTCATTCTGAATAAGTATGTAACCAGAAACTGACTGTCCTGTCTATTCTAAGATCACAATTTAGTATGCTCCAATACATCTTTGTCATGAAAAAGTCTAAGTTGTTACTGTGTTTAGTATCTATTCCTCTATAAGTATATGTGTTGTAGTTTATACTCATCCCTGTATTAAATAATATTCTGTTTTGAAGTCTATTGTATTTTGAGGATTTTATTTGGGATTTTTGCCTTTCTTTTTATTGTACAAGTGTCAAAGATGAAAAAAAAATCAACTCATGCAATAGGAAGCTCTAAACCTAGAGATTTTTCAAATGTTAATGTTAGAAGCAGTTGTTACCCTTGGCAGCCGGGGTAAGGGTATTGAAATCGGGTCCGTGTGTGTGTGTCTGTCTGTTTCCTTGTGTGTATCTCAAAACTAATAGACTGATGTATACGAATCACAAGATGGGAAGTCAGTATGGGACAGTCCTTCCCAAATTTAGTCTGGATCTGGATTTAGAGTCACTTTGAAACATTTTTTATAATGGGGAGATGGGTAGTTTTGCGGTTTTGGGTTAATAACTCTGTAAAGTGTGGTCGGACTTGTAACAAATTTTATGGCTACATTAAGGTTTAGATTTCTCATCACACTACAAAAAAATGGTTCGGGTCATTGATCATTCTAGATCTGAGAAGGATTTTCTGAATTTTCAAAGGTAAAATTTGACATCCAATATAAATGCATACAATCTCAAAAAGGAGCGGCATGCCGAAGATATGCAATCTCTGATTGCTCTTGTTATTAATAGAGATTTGATTTACTCAATGTATGGAATTGCATATGCTGTGTTAGAAAAACAAGTCTTATTTCTCAAAATTATCTTTAAAGTTTTTGTCATTATGAATAAATATTTATGTAGAAATTGACTGTCTCATATATATACTATGAGGTCATGATATAATATGTTCCAATATAGCTTTCTCACAGAGCAGTCTGAAGTTGACACAGTGTTAAGTGTCTATCCCTCCAAAGTATACATGTTGTAATTTATGCCCCATCCCCTACATTGAATACTGCTCTATTCAAATCCACTATATATGCAAGGGATACATCAGCTAACAATGACTTTCAGGAAGCTAGAAAGAATACTATTAGAGTAAAAAGTAGTGAATT